GCCACTGGACATGCAGCCGCATGGATCATGGTACCCCTGTAATTATGTAACAAGCGGACATGGAGAAAAAAAAAAACATTTCCAATGTTGCCTCCTCTATGACTTGATTCTGCCCCTAAGCTGCACAGAGGAGCCTTCTCTGTGCTGGTTAGGGGTAGAATCAAGTCATAGAGGAGAATCAACTCCATAGCTGCTGGTACTTCTCTTGTGGGGGTTTGTCAGTCTTTCTTGTATTATGACTATTCTTTAGTCCTTTCATCCCTCCCCTCCCCTCCCCTCCCCTCCGCACCCCATCTTGTGTCGCCCATGCTGGAGTGTGGTGGTGTAATCTCAGCCCACTGCAGCCCTGACCTCCCGGACTCAAGTGATCCTCCCACCTCAGCTTCCCAAGTAGCTGGGACTGCTGGTGTGTGCCACCACACCTGGCTAATTCTTTTGTACTTTTTGTAGAGATGGGGTTTCACCATGTTGCCCACGCTAGTCTCGAACTCCTGACCTCGTGATTCACCTACCTCAGCCTCCCAAAGTGCTGGGATTACAGATGTGAGCCACCGCACCCGGCCTAAACTGAAATTTATTAACATTCCACTCTCACATTTCTTATTGACAAACAGAAATATATGCTTTTGTTTAGAATCATTTGAAATTAAGTGTGGATTTGTTTTCAGTTTTCTTACTCAGAATTTGGTGTGCTGCTTCTATCTGAGGAATCATTTGTAAAAGAAAAACGAAAGAAAAACCCTTTTTACTTTAGAATGATTGTAGATAAACATAGATTTACAAAGAGTTTCTATCTTCCTTCACCCAGTTCCCCTAATGTTAATCTCTTACATTTAATTCTTTCTTAAATTCTGGAAAATTTTAGCCATTGCCTCTTTGGCTCTCTTATTTTCTCTACAGTGGCCTCTGGAATGCCTCTTAGACATATTGTTGGTCATCTACCACCAAAGTCTCTACATTTGTTCTTTCTGAGCTCTTTTATCTGTTTAATCACCTAAGTTTTCTTATTGTGTAGTTTCTTTGGGACTGTCTTATTTCTGATTCTTGGGATGCTACTTCTCTTTTTGTGTCTGATGCTCGTGCCCCTTGGTGGTTTATTTCCTTGTGTGGTTTGTAACTTTGGGTTGTGAGTTCATCTCCAGGAGGGATTCTCTTTCCTGGGTGACACTTGTGTCCTGAATTATGAAAGTATACCTCAGAGCAGCTTGTTTGCTTCTGCAGGGGCCATGAGTGTTTCAGTGGTCCTGGCTGAGTTTTTGGGTTCATTGCTTAGTGTGACACACCTTCACCACTGTAGTAGTGTAAATTCCATTTTATATCCATGGGCAGGACTAGCTTAGTGATTTAAGAAAGGGTGACCTCCCACCCATACCTGACCCACAGAGCCTTGGAGAAATGGTCAGCTTCTTGTTTGAGGCCCTCTTCTTGATACTGGGGCTCAAAGCCACAGGCAGGCCTTAAACCACTTTGTACGTGGTTGCGGAAGTCCGCAGGCCGTTGTGATGTCAGTTCCACTCACTGTTTATGTTTCATTTCTTCTCATCACTTCTTACACATAAGGCATTTCTCTTTCCAGCTTGGCTGCACGTCTAAGGACGTCATTTGTTTTATTTTATCTGGTATTTCTCTGTGATAGTGGTGGAAAGGAGAAGCTCTTTCACATTAATTTAGTCCAGTATCCGTGTCATATGAAGCCTTCCGTGATCCAGCCCATTCTGCCTCTCCTGCATAAACTTAGTTCTTAACTTTTACACCCCAGCGCATTGAACTATTTGCACACCATGCACTGTAATGTTTAAAAGCGCAGGTTTTAGGGTCCAGCTGTTTGGCTTGGAACCTATCCTTTCACAACGTTTTATTTTGGACAAATTACTTATCCCTTCCGTAACTCAGCTTTCTCATCTGTAAAATGGAGCCCTGATCCCTGTCGGCTCGTCCATGGTTGCTGCCTCCAGCAGTTCATGCTGCCAGGCCGCTAGGCAATTGCACTGCTTCTTCCTTCCCTGGAAGTGCCTGTCTCCTCCTCTCCTTGATCCCTCCCAGGAGAGCGACCTTTACTCCTTCAGGGCTTGGGGTCTCTGTTGCTAGTAACTATCGTGCTGTGGGTTGCTGCTTGTTTACCTATCTCTCTCTCTTTTTTTTGAGACGAAGTCTCACTCTGTCGCCAGGCTGGAGTGTAGTGGTACGATCTCGGCTCACTGCAGCCTCTGCCTCCATGGTTCAAGCCATTCTCCTGCCTCAGCCTCCCGAGTAGCTGGGACTACAGGTGCCCGTCACTATGCCCAGCTAATTTTATATTTTTAGTAGAGGTGGGGTTTCACCATGTTGGCCAGGATGGTCTCGATCCCTTGACCTTGTGATCCGCCTGCCTCAGCCTCCCAAAGTGCTGGGATTACAGGTGTGAGCCACTGTGCTGGGCTACATAGCTCCTTTTTTTTTTTTTTTTTTAAAGCTGACTCTGACTCCCTTGAGAGCAGGGTCTTGTTTTTCTTGGTATTTGAAACTCCTCGCATTCTACCTGACATTTGGTGGGCTTTGAGTGTTGCTAGTTGAATTGAATTGCATTGAATTTCTCTGGCTGAGTGGAGGCAAGTGCTGGGAGTGGTATAAGATGCAGATGCAAGGAGTGACAGCAGGAAAGCTTGTTTCTTTGGCACATTTTGTGCCAAGTTGATGGAAATGTGAATCATTATGGCTGGGACACAAGGTAACAATTCTTAGTCTAGCTGAGGGTGCCAGAAACTTAAAACAGTGGCCAGAAAAAGCCACTAAATCTTGCAAATTAAAGTGGTTTCCAGCCTTAAGAATGCATGCCCCACATTCCCTCCCCAAACTCAGCTTCTCTGAGTGCCAGGTGGAGGAATACAAACTAATTATATTCCTAGTGGGCCCTGAGAATCTTTAATTTTAGAATAAGGCTGCATTTCTGAAAGTCACAGTTGCCTTAGGAGTAGATGACTCTGTATGCCAGGGGCCTCCAAGGAGACCAGGATGTGAAAACGCAGTACATGGCATTTAGTGCTGTGTCACCCATCACTTCTGACCTCGTTAAGATTTCTATCCCACTGAGACTTAACAACTAAAAAGGGCAGATTAGATAGGTCTGGGGCAGAGCTTAATGGCCTGTGTTATCCTCCTTGGCTTTGCCTGTGTTCTCTGGACTCTTGGGACTCTATCATAGGAATATTCTCAGAAGAAAAGGCAACTGAACAATGACAGCACCAACTCTCAGTTCCCTTGCTGGAATTTTAGGAATCAGCTTGAACTCAGAGGTGGGCACACGGTTAGGGCTGGAGTCGGCATCTTTGCCCAACACCCATGAACCCCATTAGTTCTTTCCTGACAGCTCTCAGTCTGTGGTCATGTGTTAAGCAACTGTGTGTTCAGTACTGTGCTGGGTGCTGTTTCTGAAGATCCTGAAATAGTAATGCCACAGTCCCTCTTCTCAGAGAGGAGGGCTTGCAGTCTAGTTGGAGAGAGTTCCTACCACACAGAAAGCTGCAACCAACAGGGCCCAATAGTAATGCTGTCTGATGTCACTAGGAGCAAGTGTGTCCCTTTGACAGCTTGGCGCTTTTGCTCAAAAGGAGCTGTTCTCTTTCTGAGACTTGAACTATTGGTTTGTTTTTTGTCAAATGACTTGCTAGCACTGTTACAGACTGGTCTGAATTAACTAGGACTACCTTTTATCTGTTTCTGAAGAATAGCCCCAAATGTGCTCTCTCGGTCTTTATAAAGTTTTCCTTTCTTTCATTTCACCCAATTATGATAGATTAACTTTACAGTGTCATCTGCTGATCTCCAGGTTCTTCTAGGGGCCCGTCATCAGCCATTGCTGCTTTTGAGGTATCAAGGTTTGTCGTGTGGACTCTCAGATAATTTCCTTACCTGTTCAATAATTCTGACTTTCCATTTTTCTAAGAGAGAGTATCTCAAAGTGATGGCTGAATCAGATTATCTGGGAGTGTGACTTGGATGCTATTACTGAAGATTAGAGGAAAATGTAGCAAATTATGACCTGAAGCAGTTATGGATGGATTCGTGGATGGAGATTCCAACTGAGTTAGGTAGTCTGTAGTCTTAAGCAGTTGTGGATGCTCCATTAGTCATGAGCAACTCAGCCTCCTTCCAGTTCACTGTTCTGCCATTGTTAGGGTGTGGCTGCTGTCCTCATGGTCCAAAATAGTTGCCATGGCTCCACATCTCACACCACATTCCAGGTAGTGAGAGAAAAAGACAGAAGAATGATGTCTCACCTCTCTTCAAAGGAGACTTCAACAAAGCCTGCCTCTACCAGTTTCTGTGAATGAGGGAGTTATTTCATATCTCAGAGCCTCTTTTTTTTTTCTTTTCTTTTCTTTTTTTTGAGACAAGGTCTTGGTTTGTCGCCCAGGCTGGAATGCAGTAGCAGCACGATCGTGGCTCACTGCAGCCTCAACCTTTCAGGCTCAAGCAGTCCTCCCCGCTCAGCCTCCCAAGTAGCTGGGACAAATACTTGAAGAAAATCTAGGCACATGCACCACACCTGGCTAATTTTTTAATTTTTTCGTAGAAATAGGGGTTCTTGTTATGTTGCCCAGGTTGGTCTCGAACTCCTGGGCTCAAATGATCCTCCTGCCTTGGCCTCCCAAATTGTTGGAATTATAGGAGTGAGCCACTGCGCCTGACCAGTTACCTCATTTGTAAAACAGGCTTGGTAATGCTTAGTGCAGGAGCGAGAGGATCAGGGAGCGCACATATAGCATGCTTGGTGCCCGATGCCCAGCCTGATGCCCAGCCTGCAGCACGTGTTCTCTAAATCACGGCAGCAATTTTTTCTGCAGCACACTGTTCTCTTTCTCTCTCCGCCACTCCATCTTTCCAGGGTCTCTGCCCTGCCTGTCAGGCTCGCCTTTCCTTTACTCTAGCCCTTTGCATCTGTTCCTCCCTGTATTCTCCCCTCATCTCCTCTCTTCCTTGAGCCTCATTTTCCTGCTCTCATCTTGCCTCTATCCCTCATCTTTTTTTTTTTTTTTTCCTCCCTCAGGTTTATTTGTACAAATAGCACAGGAGGACCCCAGCCCCCTGCAGATGGCAGCCCCGGGGGGGTTGCACCAGTCCTTCTGTCCTCACGTTGGCAGACAGAGATATCTACTCTGAAGCCTTTGTAGGGGCCTGGGCACCTTTGGGAGCCTGAGCTGGAACTGAAGCTGGAGCTGCAGCCTGGGACTTGGTTTGATCCTTGGCCTTGGCCTTGGCCTTGACCTTTGGCTGGCAGAGCCTGAGCCCCTTGGCAATGCGTGCACGAGCACACTTCCCAATCTTGGGGTGGGCAATGTAGGCAAGTCAATCGAGCTTGCAGCTGACACCCTTTGGGATCTTGGGCTTAACCTCCTTGGGCTTTACGAGGGCCTTGATGGCCTCGGCACGTGCACTCATGGCCTTGGCATTGTTGGCCTGTATCATCTTTAGGCCCTTCTTGTTGTGCTTCTTGGCAAAGCACATGTTCCTCAGGAACTTGGGGTCCACCCCCTTAAGAGATTCGTATCTTTGTGATCGGGGTTTCTTGATACCATTTCTGTGCCATTTTCGGGACTGGTTGTGTGTGGTGTGGTTCTTGGACTTGGCCATGTCTGCACCTAAGCCACGGTTCCCAGTGTGCCTAGGACTGGAACTATCCCTCATCTTTTCAGCGTCTCCTCCTCCTTGAACTACCTCTTCCTTCTAGTGCTTCCGTCCTTCCCTTCTCCTGACCTCTGGTGAACAATAGTTCTTTGTAACATAATAATAAATTATCCTTTCGTTACAAAGACCAGAAGTTAGAGGTGGTGATTGGCCTTGCGAACTGTAGGTCAGCAATGAATAATTTAAGAAAGCTACATTTAATTGATTTATTCATATATCAGTTAGGAATTCTGTTAAGCAGCTGGAACAGAAATAGCAGTGGCTTAAACCAGTAGAAATTTTTTTCTATTATGAAAAGAAATCTAGAGGGGACAGTCTAGGGCTGGTCTTTCCGCTCTGCCATCCTTAGTGCAGGGCTTCCAACACCAAGGTTGTATCATGGCCTGAGATGGCTGCAGGAGCCCCAGCCATCATGTCAGGTTCTAGGCAGAGAGCAGGAAGAAGAGAGGAAAGGCAAAAAAAAAAAAAAAAAAAAAAAAAAAAAAACACACATGCTCCATCTTGAGCCTTCCTGCAAGTCCCACCAAATAGCTTGAGCGTCTCCTCATTGGCCTCCCTTAGTTGCAAGGGAGGCTGAGACATCTTTTAGCTGGGCACATTGCCACCTGAAGTAGAATTGGAATTCTGTCACTGAGAAAGAAGGGGAGAATGGATATTGTGTAAACAATTAGCAAGGTCTGCCGCCATTCATTCAGCATTAATTTAGCACCTACAGTCAACTAGTTCCGAGGCACAGTCACGGTGTCCCATTTCAGAGGGAAGACATAGATAAGTAAGCAAGCACAGTACAGAGGATGGGTGAGGAGGAGGGGGAGAGTGAAGAAAGGCACCAAGTGGGCGTCTCACGTACCCTCCGGGGTGCATTCTGGAGCTCGTCACGCAGACATTCTTGTCTGTGGTTTATTTCCTCTATGTCCCCTCTTCTGCTCTCTCCCTTTTGTCATTGTCGCCATTGTTGTTGTTGGGGTTTGTTTTTGCTCCTCCATCCTGACGTCAGCAGTAGTCCCTAGAACCTTAGGAGGCAGAAACAGTTGGCGGCTTAGTGGGCAGCTCTGGGATGCGAGCCATGTGTGTGAAGAGCCAAGTCCCAGGCCTATAAGCCAATTAGAGGCCAGTGGCAGGAGAGCATTTGTTCCTGGACATGCCGTGGCACTGCCAGGAGACTTTACTCCAGGAACAGGGTCGTCATCAGGAGGCGTGTTCTAACTAGGCACCTGGCATCACCTCTGCTGTGCTTGTCATAAAATGAAATTTTGGAGCAGTAAAATTCTTCTCCAGTTCCTGTGAAATGGGTATAATTGCTTCATCCACATTAATTTAACCGGAGGTCTTGGTATGCTATAATGTTAATTATGTGTAAAAGTACTTCTACTTACTATAAAATTTATGGACAATTCAACATTGATATTCCTTCTTAGAACTCAAAAATCTAGGAATAATTTGGGAGACCTGCATTATCTTTCATTTTGATCCCAAGAACATCTATTGCTGTTTCCTTTGGGAAGTTAGGCAATGGGAAGCCTGCTGCAGAGATTTTCTAAGCAGGCATATCCCAGTCCCTAAGGAGTTTGAAAGTTTCAGAGAAGACTAAAGGAGTAAAAGACCGTTCGTTCTGGCACAGTGCAGTCCTTATGAGGTTGAACTGTGACCCTGGTCAAGTTACCCTCCTGTCCTCAGTTTCCTCATCTGTCAAATTTTGATCCTGTGGCCCCTCCCCAACAGGGCTGTGATGGAGATGAAGAGACACATGGGACTCATTCAGCATGTGTTATTATCATTATTATTATTAGTGCTGCTGGTAGTAGCCCATATGTTAGTGCTAGCCCAACATATGGGTCATGATTTTACCCATATGTTGGGGCCAGAGTGTAGAAAGCCTTGGATACCACATTAAGGAGTTGGATTTTGTGGGCAAGGATGTGACAGATCATGGCTGGGCTTAGAAATGTCACTGACAGGAGTAGAGAGGCAGATCTAGGTGAGGGGAGGGCAGGGCTTGAACCCGGCCAGTCAAGGAAAGAGAAGAATGGATAAGTGAGTGGTGAGGGAGGACCCAGTGGTGCTAGAGTTCAGCCTGTGTGCCTGAGGGATGGTGTCCCATTGACTTGGGTGGGAAGCACTAGAGGTGGCGCATTGGAGTAGCATGAGGGGAAAGAAGCATATGGTGATCAGTTCAGCAAACAAACGGAGCACCTGCTGGGCACCAGAGTCAGGGACACCTGTGGCCCGGCATGAAGATAATTGATTGTGTTTTGAACACATTATGAGGCCCCTGTGAGGGCTCCATGTGGTATTTAGGCAGTCAGCAGGAGAGGGGCCCAGGACAGTGGTGTGGGATACAGTCACAGTTTGTGAAATTGCCAGTGGATGGGTTGTACAGCGGATGAATTGAGCAGGGAAGCCAGCCAAGAACAGAATGGGGAGGGGAGGGCATTGGGGGTAGGAAAGGAGGATCGTATCTCAAGAGCAGGTGAAGGAAGAGCAAGCAGCAGTGCAGAGCCCCCAGAGGAGAGGGCTTCAGGGAAGTGCTTGACAGAACCATTGCAGCAGTGAGACGGAAGCAGGACTAGGGCAGCAGCAAAGGGCCTCTTAGATGGCAGGGCAAGAGGAGGTCATCTGGGACTTCCGAGAGAGCTGTTTCAAATGGGAGGAGAAAGCAGTGTTCTCCTGGTGGTGGTTCTAATGCTTTGTATTTGTAGTTCTTAGTCGTTGTCAAGGCCCTTCGCACTCTTTTGAGACAGTCTCGCTCTGTCACCACGTGCCAGGCTGGATTGCAGTGGTGCTGTCTCGGCTCACTGCAACCTCTGCTTCCCAGGTTCAAGCAATTCTCCTGCTTCAGCCTCCCGAACTGGGACTACAGGCATGCGCCACCACACCCAGCTGATTTTTGTATTTTAGTAGAGACGAGGTTTCACCATGTTGGTCAGGATGGTCTCGATCTCCTGACCTTGTGATCCACCCGCCTCAGCCTCCCAAAGTGTTGGGATTATAGGCATGAGCCACCATGCCCGGCTGGCCCTTCACACTCTGCATCATGCTCTCTCACCAGCCTGTCAGGCAGTGGGGGTGGCCCCATCATACAGCTGGGAAACTGAGGCAGAGCCTAGACAGCCTACCTGACCCATGCAGGGCAGGGAAGACTTGCTTCCTAAAGGAGAGTCTTCCTCAAGGGCAGAACAGACCTAGCCAGGTGAGGAAGGAGGCCAGCTGGAAGGGAATGGCCAAGACCTGGGGCACGTGTTGAGAGCAAAGTACCTTTGACCTGGGGGAGTGGTGGGAGAGCAAGCTAGAGAGGGAAGCAAGGCTGGATCAAGATGATCTTGTACCAACAGGAGTTGGGACTTTTTCCGACAGTGGCAGGGAGTTTTAAAGATTTCTAAATGGGATTAGATATCAGGTTTGTAATCTAGAAAGATCAGTCTTGCTATAGACAGGGAAGGGGGCAAAGAGTGAAGCAAGGGACCCTCTTTAGAGACTGTTGCAATAATTCAGATGGGAAATGATGAGAGTTGCCAGGCTTGGTGGCTCACGCCTGTAATCCTAGCACTTTGGGAAGCCAAAATGGGAGGATCGCTTGAGGCCAGAAGTTTGAGACCAGCCTGGCCGATATAGCAAGATTTCCATCTCTTAAAAAAAAAAAAGAGAGAGAGAGAGAGAGAGAGAGAGAATTGATGATAATGAATTAGGGAGATACTTAGGACTCAGATGGATAATACTTGGTTGCCAAACATGGTGGCTCAGACCTCTAATCCCAAAACTTTGAGAGGCTGAGGCAGAAGGATTGCTTGAGACCAGCCTAGGCCCCAGCTCTACAACTTTTTTTTTTTAGTGAGCCAGGTGTGGCGGTACACACCTGTAATTCCAGCTACTTGGGAGGCTGATGTGGAAGGGTCACTTGAGCACAGGAGGTCGAGGCTGCAGTGAGCTGTGATCATGCCACCGTACGCTGACCTGGCTGACAGAGCAAGACCCCATCTTAAAAACAAACAAATAAAAAAATACTTGGTTCATTTGGTACTTGGCTTATTTGGATCTTGGGGAATATTGAGGATGAAGGGATAACATCAGCGAGACTAACTTCAAGGTCAAGACTCCTGCCAAGAGTCCACCCAGCCGTAAGACAGGAAAGTGATAATAGAATCTGCCTCACTGGTGGCCTGGCAATGGGAGTTTGTTGATTAACCCTGAAGTTGAACTCCTCCAGGTCAGGATCAAGACTTCGGAATGAGCTGCTCTATAGATGTGAGAAACAGAGACAGACCTGGCCTTGCAGAAAGATTGCTGCAGTCTTTCTCCTACCATCTCCAGCACAAAGTGGTTTCTGGTCCCAGGAAGCCCTGGCTTGGGCTGTGTGGGACCCTTAGTGCTGTGAAGACTAGGAGCACCCTGGAGGTCTTTGTTCCTTCTGCGCTTTCCTTAGATTGCATCTCCCCACCTTGGTTTATATATTTGTCATGAGGTGGGGGAAAGCCTCCTGACAAATATATAAAATTGATCCAGTCCTGGATCAGTTTGGGTCATACAAGAGGGTGGTCAGTGTTGGGCCACAGAGGGCCCTGGGCCCTTTACTCGCCCTTTGGCCCTAGGCTCTGAGCTCCCAGGCTTTGGCTGCCAAGCAAAAGGTGGAGTTGCATCAATTGTTGCTCTTCACCAGGGACCCGGGGCTTGCTCGGGGTGAGCTGACGGGCTGTTTTCTTCTCTCTGCTTTGACTTGTGCTGATTTCTAACCCCAGGCCTGTTGCAGCATCTGCTTGGCGTCTGGGGCCAGAGTCTAGGTTTCAGCAGTCTGCCCATGATTTACCCTCAGGATGAATGCTGGGAAGTTTGGGAGCACCGTGGTGGTGGTACAAGTTCAGCCCCTCATTTTAGTTTATTTTTATGTTAAAATGTTTACTAATACAAAATAACACATAGACCAGAACCAGTTGTATGACAGAAAGGGACTGACTGGACTCAGGATCTCCTGCCCCAGCCCCAGGGGTGAAGATGAAGGTGAAGGTGATTGGTTTCCTGGGCATCCTTCCTTCCACAGTTTTTCCTTGCACACGCTCATGTGCATGTGCTTTTTATCCTCTTCTGCTCTTACCCATGGCACTGGGGAGCACAATAAATCACTGAATTGCTTTGACACCTAGATTTCTTTACATAAGCATATCTTGGGAATCTTTCCACGTCAGCATATACAGATACATTGCATTCTGTTTTTTTTTTTTTTATTTTTGTTTTTTTGTTCTTGCTCTGTCTCCCAGGCTGGAGTGGAGTGGCCTGATTTCTGCTCACTGCAACCTCCACCTCCCAGGTTAAAGCGATTCTCCTGCCTCAGCCTCCTGAGCAGCTGGAATTACAGGTACCCACTACCACGCCCGGCTCATTTTTGTACTTTGGTAGAGACGGGGTTTCACCATGTTGGCCAGGCTGGTTTCAAACTCCTGACCTCAAATGATCCACCT